CACACGCCTGCACACCCGCCCGCCCGCAGGCAGAGCCCCAGCCCCCGGGGACACCCGCGCCCGGCCGGACACCAAGTGCACGCTTAGACCAGGGGCTTGCACGCCTAGGGGCACACGCGGCATCATGCACAGCCTTCTTGTGTGTGGGCTTGCACTAGAGGTGGCTGCACGGACTCACACGCCTAGGGGCACGCAGCCTTGTGCGTGGCTATGTGGATTCACACACAGCCATGTGCACACAGCCTTGTGTGTGGACTTGCATAGAGATACCTACAGGCAGCAAGTGAGTTTACACACTTTGGGGCACACGTATCAGCCACGTGGACACAACTTTGTGCGAGGACCTGCACTAGAGGTGGCTGCATGGACTCACACACTTTGGGGCACACATGGACACAACCTTGTGCGAGGACCTGCACTAGAGGTGGCTGCATGGACTCACACACTTTGCAGCACACGTGGACACAACCTTGTGCGAGGACCTGCACTAGAGGTGGCTGCATGGACTCACACACTTTGGGGCACATGTGGACACAACCTTGTGCGAGGACCTGCACTAGAGGTGGCTGCACAGACTCACACACTTCGGGGTGCACGTGGACACAACCTCGTGTGAGGACCTGCACTAGAGATGGCTGCATGGACTCACACACTTCAGGGCACATGTATCAGCCTTACGGGTGCATCTGCACTAGGGCTCTGCAGCTACCAGGGATCACACTTGACAGGAACAGTCTCGTGGTCTTGCATGTGCACGCACAATCTGCACGCTCAAATGGAGCTGATGAAATCCAACTCGGTCAATGGTGAATGAGCCGGGCAACCTACGGACAACTGTAGGCAGGGGAGCGAGGGGCTCGGCCTCTGAACCAGACACCCTGGACCTTCGATGGTGGCGGCTGCGAGGGAGGGGAACGGGGTGGACACCCTGGGCCGAGCGGGACAGGAGACCTGTGCCCCGACCCGGTGCATGGCAGCTCACAGTTGTGAGCAGCTGGAAAGGACCTTACAGCTCATCAGGTCCAGCCCCTCTTTCTCATGATCTCATGCCCAGACAAACGCACTTGCAGTGCATACGTGTGCGGACGCACCTGTGGCATCTCGCACACCCACATGCACCCAACACCCAGACCAAAAAAAACGTTTGCTTCTTCACTGCCCAGGAACAATTCATCTCCTCTGCCTTTGCAACTGGTGCCTGGCGACCCCGGGGAAAATTCATGCCCCTTATGGCAAGCTGTCTGCTCCCAGGGGCAAACCCAGCCTAGAGCAGCACTGGACAGGCACTGGAGATGTCTGCATTAAAGAGGAGGGTGCAGACAGGCCCCGAGGCAGGGGGTCTCCCGGCTCCTTGCAGGAGCCCCGTGCTGTTGACACGTTCCCGGCACCGTGCTTTGCGGCTCGCCTCTCGCCGGCCGGGTTAAAGCTCCTCGGGAAGGTCTGGTGTAAACAAGCTCCCCACATGCTCAGCCCCTTCCAGTGCATTGGCTGCCCGGCTCCCTTTAAATACACGCCCCCGCCAGCCGGGGAGAAAATAAACAGTGCAGCAGTGGGACCAGCGCGCCCTCCTCCTCCTCCTCCTCCTCCTCCTCGCTGGACCCATCCCAGTGACAGGGCCTGCAAAGTGCAAGCAGCGGGTGTGAGACGGTGCATGTGCACGGGCAGGATGGCCGGACACCAGGCCCCTTGTCTGCCCGCTCGCAGCCGTGCCAAGGCACTTCTTGATTTGCACTGCGCACCTGGGCTATAAGGAGTGCCCTGGTTATCCCAGTGACCTAAAAGCCACCTCCTCCTTGATCTTTTTCTCCCTCCCCTGCCAGCCCCGGGATCTGCTCCGTGCCCCGTTTCTCTCTGCCCCGGCGGCCATTGGAGCTGGCGGGGGGGAGGACAGTTTTCACCACGCTGTCCTGGAGAGCGGATCCAGATCGGTCCGCTTGCCCCTAAAACGTGCCCGGCGCGTCCACACGAGCCGCGCGTCTCCGGAGCGGGCAGGCAGGAATAGCATTGTTTACCCCGACGCTCCTGGCTCTGCAGAGAGGAGGGAGACGGGGAAGGCGTGGCGCTTGGCACTACACAGGATATTTCTTGCTGCTTGCTAAGCTGCGTTGGCCGGAAAGCCAGTCTCTCTCTCTCTCGCGCTCTCTTTTTTTTTTTTTTTTAAGGGGGAGCATCTAGATTTTGCTCAACCAAGGGGGCTGCGTTGGCAGGCGGTCAGGAGCTGAAGACGGCACCTAATTATCATAAAATGAAGCTACTTGCCGCAGCAGCCCTCCTCTCCGAGGCAGCCAGCCTTGTGGCATCCGCTGCCTCCCGCCCGCAGGCATGGGACGGAGCATGGCATGCCGGGACTCGTACCCCTCTGCCGGCTCCAAACAAGGCCTGCACCCTCACCGGGCCCCGAACCAAGGTGGGCCAGGGCCCGCCGGGACTGTAGTCCACCAGCGCTTGCCCTTCGGTGTGAAAGACCAAGACGCAGGCGTGCATTCGATACCAAGACACAGGCGTGCATTCGAGGGAAGCCAGTTAGGAGGGGAGACAGATGCGCATCCCCTTCACCCCGCCATGAAGATACGAGGGGCAGGGGGAGGTTGTCGCATGTGTTTCGGTAGCAGGATCGTAACGGGCCAAATCCACCCGCTTCGCATCACTCCTATCGTTTTAGACAGGCAACCTCGTGGGGAAGTCGTTGCGCCGAGAGTCGAGCGCGGGGAAGTCGTTGCGCCGGGACTCGAGTGCCGGGTTAAATCCCCAGCCTGCTTTCCCCTGTGACCCTATGCAGGTCATACAGTTAAGCCCGTATTAGTGGCACCCATGGATAAACTAGGTTAAATGTTCCCACGTTATAAGCTTGCACCAGTTTAACTACCGGCGTTTAAAATCAGATTCGTCAGTTTTTTCTAGTCAGGACAAGGCCTGAAATCTCCCCGTGCCTTAGTTTCCCGGTTTCCAAGTGGGGTGGAAGAGTCTTTGCCCCCTCGTTTTTCCCTGCCTCGTCGTCGACTGTCTTTTAGGCGGTGTTTTACTACATTCACGTACAATATTGTGCCCCGATCTCATTGGCGGTGCCGACCCGATACAGTAACACCAAACAGAAATAATACCCCGCCCCGGATTAATTTGGTCCAGCGTGTTTATGGGGGGGATTATTCAGCGCCGAAGATAAAACGGGACGGAGGCAATCCGTCCGCACGCGGGGAGGAGATGACAGGCTTCTCCGAGAACAAGATCCAGGCTTCTCCCGTTCATAATAAATACAATAAATCACACGTATGCACACATGTTGTCTGTGCAGCGGAGGTGAGTCACGTGCATAGCAAATTCTCAATCCGTATCTAGCAATGCCCTTGTATCGGAGCCAGCAAATCTCCGGCATCGAAAGGAAACTCGGCCTCGTTTCCTCCCGCATGACCAGGGTCCCCGGAGGTCGCCGCTGGCATCAGGACCCCCTCGAGCATCTCACGTATCACGAATACGTCCGTACGTCCGCGCCCCAAAGACCGGTTTAAAACCAGGACTGCGGTCGCTCGATTCACGCGCGGTTATTGCATTTCACCGCGGCTGCTCTCCCCCCACGTGGGTAGACTCAGCAGCGGCCTATTTTTTGCTCGTGCGTTTCCACACCCTCGCATCGTCGGGGCGAGCAGGAGGCACGCGTATGCAGGCTGGGGGAGAGAAAACACCGGGGTGGAAAAGGTCGCGGTGTTTTTGAGCGCCGAAAAACACGACTCCTCGGTCCCCGAGCCGCGCTTAAACACCGCACGCGAGCTGCAGAGGCAGGGAAGCGACGCCGCATCGGGATCCGCTCGCGCTCGCCGGAGCCCTGTCTACACCACGTGTGGGGTTGGCGTGACAGGATAAGGCCGGTGTGGCGGGACCAGCTCACGCTCACTGGACTGTAGTAAGCCCTGTCTGCACCAACGTGTGAGGGGGCATGTTTGAGGTGCTTCTGTCTACACTGGTGTGTGAGGGGCCAGGTTTGAGGCGCTTAGTGAGCACTGTCTACACTGGTGTGTGAGGGGCAGGTTCGAGGCCTGAGGCGAGGACAGCCAGCCAGCCCAGCGCTGCCAGGGGTAGGAGGAAGGAGGTGCAGCGCCCTCCCCTCACACGCAGTCCCCAGCGCGGGGGCCATTACTGGGCCCAGGGGGGCTCGCGCCCCCGCGCCCCGCCCCCCCGCGCTGGCTACGTGCAGCTCCCCACGTGGCGCCCGCCCCAGAGAACAGCCAGAGCCGCACGTTCGCGCCCAGGAGGGAGGGGCGGCTGGGGGAGAAAGCAGCCAATGGGAGCCCTGAGCGCCGAGGCGCACACCAATCGGCGCGCGGCAGGAGGGGGGCAGGGAAAGGCTGGAACGAACAGCCAATGGGCGCGCGGGGCGGGGGAGGTTCGCCCGCCCGCTACTGCGCAGGCGCGGGGGGGAGCGGGCGGGGAAAGGAGCTAGCTCAGAGCGTTCGGCCGTTGGTGTCGCCCCTCCCCCTCGCTCTCCCGCCATGACACGCTGCTCCCCCGCAGGCCTTGAGGGACATGGCTGCCCCCTCCCTCCCTCTGCCCTGAGGGGCAGGCTGCATGAGCGCCATCCCCACCACCTAGGCGCCCAAGGCGCCCTGCTCCGTGTGACACACGTTACGCAGCGCACGGGGGAATCGCGCCACCAACATAGACTGGCCACACACGTGCAAAGCCATTACCACGCGAGTCACCAATTGCACGATAATGTTTGAACGAGACACGCGTGCAAAGTAATTATCGCACGGTTCACCAGCCAATCGTGCAATGCGTTTGAACGTCACACGTGCAAAGTAATTATCACACGGTTCACTAGTCAATCGCACAATGCATTTGAACGTCACACGTGCAAAGTAATTATTGCACGGTTCACTAGTCAATTGCACAATACATATGAACGTCACGTGCAAAGTAATCACACGGTTCACTAGTCAATCGCACAATGCATTTGAACGTCACACGTGCAAAGTAATTATTGCACGGTTCACTAGTCAATCGCACAATACATTTGAAAATGCACACGTGCAAAGTATCCCACGATTTACTGGTCAAGCGCACAATACATTTGAACATCACACGTGCAAAGTAATTATCCCACGATTCACTAGCCAATCATGCAATGCATTTAAACTGCTCACAAGTGCATAGTAATGATCACACGATTCAGCAATCGCACAATACATTTGAACCGCCCACACGTGCAAAGTAATTATCCCACGATTCACGAGTCAGTCGTGCAATATATTTGAGCCACCCTCGTGTGCAAAATAATCGTCACCCGATTCACTAGTCAGTGATGCAACACGCTTAGACGGGCCACACGTGCAAAGTCATTATCGGACGATCACAACAACTTTCCAGGTGTAAAAAGAGCCAGCCAGTTAGAAAGTTAGTGCTTGAAAATATGTAACAACTCTACAGCTGGTTGCTACCCCACTTTAATTTGAACGTGTAGCAAGGCCCGAAGTCTCACACTTGGCCCGGGGTCCTGGCCATGAAGGACCCGCTGTTCCTGCCTCGTGACACAGCCCCCGTCCCCGCACAGACAGCATCTGTTACTCCATCAGGGATACTATATCTCCATTACTGACCTTGGCAGGCAGGCACGAGCCCTTCCCTCGTGCCTCAGGTATGGACGGACATAACCCCCCGCCAGCCGCGCAGGAGGAGGAGACACCCCGAAGAGCACGTAGCTCTGAGGGATGCTGCAGGGCCTCGGGTTGCAACATGACGTGAAAACACGAGAAACATTAGCACGGCGCGTGTCCACTGTTGAAATCAGGACGATCCTGCACAATTCAGGACCGGCAGCAGCCCTTAGTCGTCTGGCCTCAAACTAACCCCCGAGGGATATTACTTGTTTGTATGCTGCTAAAAAGGGAAAAGTTCAGTTATGTTTTGCAGAGTGTGTGTGAGTGTGTGTGTGTTTTTCTGAAGCAAAAAAACCCAAGAAGTTTAGTCGCAAACAGCACTTGGTTAACTTGCAAACACGCCAGGGACACCTGGGATCGTGAAGTATTTACAGCTCCTAAAAGCAGGTATCTGCAAGGACATTTTCCTTGGTTTTTAATGCGGCTACAATCCAATAATAAGCACCATCGCCAGAGAATAAATAATCGTATCGATCGATTAAAGACTTCAATTCACCAAAAATTCCTCCTCGGGGTGTCAAGTTCTCCCAGTAAGATGTTATTTTCTCTATTTCTACATTCCCTCTCTCCAAAAATTGTAGGTTTACTAGACAGCAAATTGCAAAATTACTCCTCCTGGTTACATTCGTGCTCTCTCTTGTTTTCCGATTGATTTTTAGCTGAAGTTAAATTTCGCACTAAGTAGGGGGAACAAGAGCTGAATCTGAAAGAAAATACTAATAGTATTGAAGTAAAACATGGATTTAAGGAAGCAAGAT